ATGTCTCGCTCTCTCACTTTCTCTCCATCACTACAATGTAACTAACCTCACAGTTCTGTCAGTTGAGTAGTTTACCTTTTCCCTAATATTTTTTTTTTACTTCAAGCCTTTAAAAATACATTCTTCTTCTGCCTTATTCACTCAAATATCTTGTATTTCCCCACACTTTGAACTAAGCTCATTAACATTTGCATCCTCCTTTCTCTTCTATTTTAGTAACTCACATGCAAGGATAGTACCTTGCATGTTGTTTAGCCACTCTTCAAGGTTTTGTAACCCTGAAATCATGGGTTCAAGGTAACCTTTACTTGAGATACATTTACCACCCCCCCCAGATTCCACAGTGAGATACTAGTATCTTCACCAGGACTCTGAGAGGCTTCATTACTCTGTTACATCTGTCTTACCAATTCCCATAGCAGATTAAATGATATTTTCTGTTTTCTGGCTTCTAAGCAACTTGGTTATAGTCTCATTTCTATGCTGACCAGACTTACTAATTCTCTCAGCAAGAAGTTCAACTTCAAGCTGCCTATTTATTCATCTGTTATTGACTATCTCTCGAGTTTTAAAAATTTCCATCACCTTGAACCTCAGGTCTGTTTCAATGCCTCCCATTCCCAGAAGTGTCATCATTTCTAGGGCAAAGCACATGATCAGAACATAATTCCAGAGCTGGATTGAGGAGGATTTGCATGCCGCTCTGTGGAATTTAGACTTTTATCTTGTGGGCATTGAGAAGTCATTCAAACTTTTGCTTTAGAAAGATCCCTCTGGTGGCTGTATGGAGGATGGACATGAATAGGGATAAAGGCAAAGAAGTGAGTGGGATTCAACAAATACACGAATGACTGAGGGAGAATAAAGAATCAAGAATTACTAAATAATGCACTTTGTGTATTGTATAAGCATATATTGAACTAATTTATTCTGGCTCTGCTTTTGAGGAAAAAATGTACACAAAAAAATGTGTAGTGGAGAGCAAAATCCTTTTGCTATGTCTTGTCATAAGGCAAATGAAACCTATTATGCAATGGACAGATGGTGCAACAAGATATAAAATGAAATTAGCAATGATGAAACCCAGATGGAAATGAGGGAAAGGTCAATATGCTAAAGGTCAAAGAAATTTGGCTCCATCTTGTCTCATTTCATAAAGGACTGAGGTCATAGTTTAGTGGCTTTTACTGCAGGGAAGTTGTGGAACTATTCAAGAGCCAAACACTCACCCAGGGTTGTTCAAAGCTATAGGTACGTCGCCTGTCTTCTACATCTTCATCCTGTTTTGCTTGCTGAAATTCTTGCCTAAGACGCTGTATCCGATCATGGTTGCTAGGAGTTGATCTGTTGCTAAAAGAAAGAAGGGAAAACAATGAACACCCTTCAGAAATAGAATCTCTGAATTGTAGTTGCTAGGGAAAAAAAAAAAATGGCAGCTTGCTGTGAAATGACGCTATTTAAAAGGAACTGGATTTTTAAGACAACATCTCAACATTTATATTACATTTTCATTTTGTTCTTATGACTAAGGCTTATTGAGGTTATTTCTGACATTCAAGTGGGTAAACATTATTTTTAGAGATTCTAGTTCTTATTTGTTTTTTTTAACCTGAAAGGTGTTAGCAGCAAAAGAGTTTTGGAAAGGACATTGCATTAGAAGTGAGAAATACCAAGGTCCAGTCTGAACTCCTCTATCTTTCTACACAGACACCAATGCTTCTGAACTATATTTTTATATATCCATGAAATGGACACAATAATCATTTTTCTCTAAATAAAATCCCAATCAAGTGGGATAACACCATATAATCCAGTCTCACAAATATGCTGTGTTCTTTTCATAACACCATTACATGAATGTCCTATTTATGAGTTATCAGTGGCCTATGTAGCAAAGGCAGCTCTCACAGCAGCAATGAAAAGCATTTTAAAAACAACTTCAGTTTGATGTAGCCAGTTAGGTCAGAGATGTCCATAGTCTTGAAATCTTTAATTTCAGAGTACTTGTGGTTTATTCCATTCCCTGAGCATTAACTTTCAACCTGTCAGGAAATCTATCAAACATTTTAGGCATTAAGTCTGTCCAACAAAACTTGAGACTTCTCAAGGACCACGTTTTAGGTCTTAGGTTTATCACATACATTCTCCAAGCTGATAGCAGAATGGGAGCCACAAGCTACTGGGAAGATCAGGTCTTCTCACTGAAAACAACTGAACACAACGCTTCAGTTATTCAGTGTATATTAGAGCTGAGCATATCCTTCTGAGTATGGGTTTTGTGAAAGGTGACTTGGAAAGAGAAAGTATATCACGGTATAGTATTTAAAATTCTCAAACTAACATATGTTTTTGTATGAGTCTACATATTTTGAAGAACTCCAAAGGTCTGAAAATGTAAAATTGCAATGTTCATGTACAAAGCTCAATATCAATATATTCCAAAAATATAAGTTCATTGTTCATCACTTAATCTACTAACACCTTTATGTTTCTATCAATTTCATTAGAGCTCCTGGAATATCCTGTCAATATATTCAATTTGATTATTTTCCCAGCTTGCCTCCCTTTTGTTCCGACAAATCTTTTGCACTGATCAGTCTGCAAAAATTAAAGGTTAATGGGTCTCTAAAATGTGCGACTTGAAAATAGGAGACTTCCTTTCACCTTTGGGTATAGCTTTAAAACTTTCCCTCTAGGCCCTCCCTGGTGGCGCAGTGGGTTAAAGCACTGCACTAAGAAGTTTAAGCCACCTCCACATGAGTTCGATCCCCGCCTGCCCCGGAGGTGACCACATGGCGTGGCAGACCTCTCCTGACCTGCCCGCTGCTCCCCTCAGCAGTGTACTTCGTCAATCTGCCTGTTCTGCTCCCCACTCTGTCTCTGGTGAAGCCTCTCACCCTCCTCATCTCTGGCCTGTACCCCAGTTCTGTATGAATAAATAAATCTTTAAAAAAAAAAAAAACTTTCCCTCTATACTCTTGAGCCAGACAAGTTGTTATTCACATTAGTTTTTATAAAATATACAGATTTTATATTTTCAAACACATATATTTTCAGTTATGGTTCCCAGTATAATTGCCAATTACTCTTCATGTGAAATTGATGAAGGCATGAGGATAGTTAGATTCATAAGACAAAGAGAGTAGAATGTGAACATTCATTAATCTCACTGCCAACTTTCCAGCTGTGCCTTCTTGTTCCTGCCATACTTCATAGTTTTTAATAGGAGGATAGTAGGTGGCTACACTGACAAAGTATTCTACAAGTCTAGCTAGAACTATTTCATTATTGTTTTCATGTAGTATAGTCAGATAGAGCCCCATAACTGTTGGGCTCATGAAGTCCAAACCATCGATTTAAGTTGTCCTCCTACTCTTTGTAATTAATTGAGAGTGCAACCTCTCAACAAAGGAAGTTTATCCAGTTTCCTTAATTTCAAATGTTGGTAAACTTAATGATCTTTACAGTATAAGACACTTCTGCCCTTATTTCCAAATTTGAGTAGCAGATGAAATCACTGTTTTCACTGCTCTTTCCTTGCTTGCTTTCTTCCCATACTCTAGAGAACCTGACCAATTTGCTTAAGACTAACAAAGCTATTCTGAGGGTTGAAGTTGGAAAACAGACTGCAATGATTTCATGATTGATGATGATGTCCATCCAAAGACTGGAAGACTGTCAAACATCCTTGGGGAACAACAATTGGCAGTCTGGAGGTGAAATCCTGGCTACAAGAGATGAAACCATTGCAACTGTTCAGTTCTAGTTCTCAGGCTAGTCTGTAATGGGTCACAATTCACATTTGGACTTCTAAAAGTTTTTGATTTAGCTCTTGTGCCAAGGAAGTAAAAGGATATTTTAAATATTCATTAGTATTAGTAGTTAATCCCTAGGTTCCCCAATCATCTTATATTTAAATACATCGCCAATTTAAGTTGCTCATTATTTTTTGTGAGGAATGTAATAAAGATACCACCAAGCTGAGCCAATGAGTGTGACAATGAAACTCTTAATCAGAAGGCAGAAATCATAATTTATTGATAGTCAATAGAAAGCAAAGATTAGAAGGGGAACTATAGAGATCTGTTTTGTGTAAAAAATCCACACAAACAGGAGTAAAACAGTTTAAATCTAACACTGTCACTCAGCCTCCTCTTATATATTGGTATTGTAGTTCAACTGGAGCATTCTTTTACACACACATGTGTCATGCACATGTGAATTTAATTAAATGGACTGGGTTGGTTTTGGTTCATTAACAAGTGTGGAATTTTTTTCTGATTGGGTTAAGGAAGGACACATTAGTTCACATACAATCATGATTCCTAACATGTACTGTGACCCTGGTTTATATGGAACTCTAATTTCCCCTATCCATAATGGATATTGTACCCTTCCCAATCAGAGGTTGTTATGGACTTTAGAGGGAGTGTACTAGGCTTTAGACTATTCAGATCAGAGCACTGAAATGTGCTTCACAAAACACCTGAAAATACCAATTCATGCTACTGCAGCAAAGACCTTATTTTAAGGCAAACT